AATGTTTTTGTGTCTATTAACTGTCCAGCAGTGTAGCTGGAGGTAGATTGCCTAAGTGACCACATCTCAAAAGGAAGAGTGGAGAGTAGCAACTTCAGGATTTAATTGCCGAACAGTTTAGTTGCCTGGATTGCTCCCAAGTTTTGGTAGAAATATTATGCCTGTCTGGAGCTTATTGAAATTCTTCACAGCCTTTTTCCTGGAGACCAGAAGAGGCCCTAGCCTTGTGCTGCATGTATAAGTCTTTGTTGTGAAGAGCATCTCGTTTCTGCCTTGAGTCATGCTCCATGTGACCTTACTCCTTAGGTGGATCTGCTGGTTGGATAGGTCCTGGAGCCACAGTGACTCAAAGCAGTGTCTCCTCCGTGGCTTAGGTGAAAAGCAAACAGCCCTTCTTGGTGTGAGGAGTTTCTCTGAGTTTTCTCCAAGCTTAGAATGCCTCAGAGCAATGCCAGCACAAGGGAGGGGTGCCTTGTAACTGTACCCCTGTTATTGCTGGGAGTGCCTGTTACACCAGCCTGGACTACTTTCAGCAGTTGGGGGAGCTTAGGTATAAGTGCCATCAGTAAGTCAAAGCAGTTGCCAGCTTTCTGTGCTGTGGTGGAAGGGTTTCTAGGGTTGTCCTGAACTGTTGCATTCTTGGTTTTGCTGGTTAATCAATGGACATGAACACTGCAATCCAGGGCAGCATTTACCAGGTTGTCTCTGCTGGTATTGAACAGCCTTTTTCAAGTCTATCTGACAACACTCTCCAAAACTTCCAGCCCTACATCACTTGTGGATAATAGCTTTTCTTTCCTTCTCACCCAATGGCCTTGCCTAACCCAGTTTTAATGCCAGTAAGGAGCCCGATCCCAGAAGGTGGCTCTACACAAAGCCTTTTTGCTTCTGAATGACAAGCTGACATTGACAAGCTGACATTGTCTGTCTCTGGTCATGCAAGAGCTTTGATTAGTTACAGAAGTTTCTTCTAGGGTCTCCACTATAGTTCTGTTGGGATGTTGAACATTCTCATGGGTCCTGCCAACTGGAAAGTCTTAAGCCAAACAAACCCCATTTGTAGTTGATATAACCAAACCCACTGCTTAGCCCAAGTCAGCAGCTTTCCAAAGGCGCATGTTTTCTCATTGTGTTACTTGACAGCTTGACCATGATTCCCAGTGACAGATTACTAGAAATTCTTCTTGAGAAAGCTCAAGCTCTTTTCTCTGAAAATCCCAAGCCGAAGGGGGGTGTGGAGACCTCAGGAAGAACAGACGTGTGCCCTTCTTGTTTTGTCCATGCAGCTGTGTTAGAACATGGAGTGACTTCTGATGTTCTTGATGAGCAGTTTGCTATGAAAGTATTTTCAAATTGGCAAAATAATACTCTGGAACCACCTCTAAATGCTGCCCTAAAAAAGCCTGTATACTGAGACACCCTCCCTGCTGCCATGTTCTGAGTCAGATTCTCTGAAGCTAACAGCTGCAGGGGAGATGATTTGCAACTAGCAATGCAATTTTTCTATATCTGCTGATGTTTACCTTTGAAATGATATATATAAATATATAAGAAACAATGTCTTTGATTTTTTCTTTAATTTTTGTTCTGTGTGGTGTAAAATGGAGGTCATTGCAAAACAAAATGTAATTTTGTTATCTTTGATTCTGTGGGATTTCTTTATTTAAAAATAAAGGACTTATTGAAGTCAGTGCTACATGTAGTCTCTGTGCAATGTTATTGGGTGGTGGAGCCCAGCTCTCACCCTCGACAGGCAAAGCAGCAGTGCTTCCTTACTCGCTTCCTCTGCGGTGGGAAGAGGATCATCTCCTGGGGCCAAGGTAATGTGATTAAAATGCAACTGGGCATCTGAACATGTTCCCTCCGTTAGATTTGAATTAGCTAAAGGAGGAACCATACCAATCCTTTAGCATCTAATTCACATGTAAGGGCTGTGGCTAAGTTTCTGTTCATTGGTACTGTCTAAAACATGACTGCCTTGGGGAAAGGCAGTCCTTGTATCCCTGTGGCATACATCAAGGCAGGAGTTGGCTTGCTGCTCCCTCGCTTCCAGACAGGACAACTTTTTGGCAGCAGCTCCTGTTTCATGAACTGTGTGGTGTTGCCTCTGTGTCTTGACCCACTAGTTGGTTACTCTAGTGTAAATGCAAGGGCTCTAGTTGTAGGAAATGTGAATGAACTCTTCCTTTGAGGAAGACACCTCAAGCTTCCACTCCTTCCATACTTCTGGGCTGGGGATAACTGGGAATTCTGCACAGGGGCTACATGTTTGAAACATGGATGGTGTGCCAGCCCCTGCCACTGCTGTCATCTGCAGCTGGAGCCTTCCCCTGCCTCTGTTGTGTTCCAGAGAGCAGAACAAGGACAGAGCTGCTGCAGAAAGCCTCTAGGGAGAAGTCAGCCTTAACAGTTCCTGCTGTACGTAGGAGCATCCAACAATTGCCCTGGCTCTCGTGTCTGCTGGGGCTGGGCTTGGTGGCTAAGCATGGGGTGTCTGGCAGGCTCTTGAGCAAAGGAGCATGTGGCTTCTTGGCAGCTGCTGGGAGCTGGCAGCTCAGCCTTTCCTGGGGCCCAACTCGGGGAGCTAGCTGGGGGGTGACTGTCTTCTCCCTCGTTCTCCCTTGCAGCATGTGACCCAAGGCCTAGTGATGCTTGAGCCTTTCCTAGTTGCTTTTTGTCTTCTGGCCAAGAGAGGTCCTTGATGCCACTCTAGTGGAGAACAGAGATGGCATCAGCTTAGAAACCTGAATACCTGCCCTGAAAATACCAAAAGAAGGCTGTTTTGTGAGTGGATGAGAGCAGGTTGTGACAGTCCTCTGACAGCCCCCAGGTTCTCCTAGGATCACTAGGTTGCTGGCTGGAGGAATCTTCCAGAGCCAGACCTATACTGTGCCAAGACTAAGAGCCAAAGCAGGATCTAGGGTTTAGTTGTGACCCTTCCTGCGGTGCATGGAAGGACTGTTCCCTGAGACAACAGCTTCCCTGGAGTATGTGGCAAAGCTTTTGGCTCATACATTTCTGCAAAAATCATCATCTGCCTTTCCCCACTTGAGAGCAAGTGCAGTTCCTAATCTTTCAGCTGCAGGCAGAAGAAAAATGCAACAGCATCTCTGCCCAGGACACTGCCATCTTTGACCCCAGGGCGTGGAAGAGCCCTGCTAAAAGCAATACTTGCCTGACAGTAAGAGCTCACCTCTGTGTGGGGGTGTTTTTTACCTACAGACCAAGTGAGATAGATGTGGAGGGTAACTGGGACTGGTGGGCTGTCAGGGCAGATGGGCAGTGCCAGGACTGTCACTGCTCTTCCCCTGTAATGAGAATTGCTCTGTGGGAGGCAGTGTTTTGGGCTCCATCTCTAGTTTATTGGCTGTTGCGATTTAGCTGTTAGATCTACTTGAAAACTCCTTCCTGGCTTTGTCAAGAGTCGCTCTGGAGGGAAGCTGAGGCTGGTATGGATTGTGCTCCTTGCTCTGTTTGCTGTGTTGTTCTCTGTCTCCTCATCAAAGCAAGCTACTGGCTGACAATTTGTCCCAGCAGTAGTGAGCAGCCACAGCAACCTCCCAAGAACTGTGACTGTCCCAGTCCAAATCCCAGAGGCAGCAGTGTGGCGCTCCTGTCTGTGCGTGTGGCGGGTTTTTTTTTCTCTTTCTGTTTTTACAAGTGAGCTGCAATTGCTCTGTCTCCTAAGCAAGCTGTGCTGTTGTGTTTGCTTTGGCCTGATGGTTGGAGGGTTGTCACATGTGGCTTCCTTGGGACAGTTCCAGGTGCTTCCCGGCCCTGTGGAGAACACTGCACAGTAAGGAGCCAAATGCAGTGGAGAGGTGCCTTTTGCTTTCCCTCTGGGCTCTCGAACAAGGCTGGCACAGCCTTAGGCTGGGATTTGCTCTGCGTGGACTAACTGTGCTGCTGAGGCTGGAGAAAACTGATTTAACCCCAGCCACCTCTGCCCAGACAGGCCCAATGCTCCCCACAGCTTCGGAGACGACCTCTTGTTTGGTTTGAGCCTGAGCCAATGTCCTGATGAATGTGGCTCTTGTCAGCACCCTCCACCTCGGCTGGCTTCGGCCGGGGGTCTGGTCTTCTGGCTGATGAAAGGTGCCCGTGTGTAGCTGTGGAGCTGAGAGGGAGGGAAGGAGGGGGGACAGGGCCAGGTTGACAGAGAAGAAGGTAACCTGGGCAGAGACCAGCAACTTACTCTTCTCCAAACCCTACTGCTGGCCAAGGGAGGAGAGGATGGTCTGGAAACAGGTACCAAATCAGGTCCTTGGAGATGCCTGGTTAATGAATCAGAACAGGCTGCCTTGCCTGGGACGCAGCTACTTCTGCCCCCCTCCCCTCCGCCCTGTACTGCTGATTCCACATTAGCAAGGGCTGATTAGCAGCAGCATCAGCCACAGCTCTGTTTGCCGGGCGAGGACCCTCATCTGCCCTCCGTGGTGGCTTTTGGTGGGCTTCCCTGACTCAGCTCCCTCTCACAATGTAGTGCTAGGAGAAAGAGCTCTGCTGAGATTTTTGAAGGATTCAGGAGGATATATTCTGCTTGTCTTTCACTGTCCTGTGGTTAAAATCCATCTCCCAGTCTTAGTGGCTGCTGCAGCCTCTGTTCTTCCTCCCTGCCTGCCTGGGTGAGCAGCACTTGGGCAGAGCCAGCTCTGCCTGGGCCCCTGGTTGGGTTCTTGGTTGCATCTTTTGGGCTTTTTTTCTCTTTCCTGGTTAGAGCAAATGACTGAGAATTTGGGGGGCCTCTTTAGAACCAGCAGTGCATCCTGTGCCTGTGCCCAAAAAGCTGCACCCCTGTTCCTTGCCACATGCCACAAGGGACCCTGGAGCTCTGCTGTTAAATGCTTTATTTCTCCCTCGCTGTAGCCCTCCCTTTCCAGAGCAGACACTCTCCTTGTCCTCCCACCGCAGCTTCAGGGCATCCTGCGGGAGAGGGCTGGTGGCCTCCTTTCTCTGCTGGTTCCCAAGGGAAGGCTGCTCTGCCCAGGAGGGAAAGGACTGCCAGGCAGCCTGCTGCCAGGTTTGGGGAGGGGAGGGACAGGCGTGGAGCAACGTGCCCATAGCGCCTCATCAGGAGCAGTCATTCAACCAATGCTACAGTAAGGAGGTGGTTGGGGTTAGAGGGCCACCTCTGATCCTATTTTACAGGGGAGTAGGAGTGGACCGAGGTTTAGAGAGCCGTGTCTTCAGCCTCGATGCGGGGCCCAAAGAGCTTCTCTGCAGTTGCTTTGCCGTCGTACTTGGGCAGGGTGCCACCAAAGTCTGCCGGCAAGATGTCAGCATCGATCTCCTGGTAGAAGGACTCCAGCTCCTCCCCATGCACAAAGACCTGGCAGAAGACGGGAGCAACCCTCAGTAGAGGACCCGGGCAACTCTTCCCAACCGCTCTGTTTCACCCAGGGACTTGCCTCTGCCTCCGGGTCCCTTTCCCACACTCACCCTCTCCAGCAGTTTGCTCTTCAGGAATGGTTTGACCACATTGTAGGTTGTGGTGAAGTACCAAGGCTGGTGGATGAAGTGGACGGCCTTGAACCGTGCTGGGAAGGAGTCCTAGGAACCCAAATCCAAACACGGACGGTTACAAAGGTTGCTGGCCCCACAGAGCTGGGCCAGCAGCAATAGGCATCCTGGCACTGCTGTGGCTCCCCTCACCCAATCTCCCCTTCTCTCTTTGATGGCCCCTTTTTGGTCTGACCCAGAGGATCAGCCAGCCCAGTCCCACAAGGACCAGGGAAGCTGAAGAGCCTCACAGATGGTTCATTGCTCCCACTCCATGAGAAGGACCACATCTCTGCCATCCTCCTTCCCTAGGCAGAGCTGAGTGTCTTTGGCCTCTGATTCAAGGGCAGAAATCCCGGAGCGTCTGAGTCTCTGTCCAGCCAGGGCTGGGCTGAGAGAGTGGTGAGGAAAGGCATCCAGGCTGTGCTGTAGGATGCTGCAAGGAGTGGTGGTACAGAATAATAGGATTCATCTTGCAGGATTTAGTCAATTAGCTTGCAAGGGAAGGAGTGTTTGCCAGGGAACAACCTCTCCACGGTGCTTTCTCATGGTGGCAATCCCAAACCCTGCTAGCCCTACCTCCGCCCTTCCCTGAGCTCTCTGCTCACCCAGGGCCCGCTGTGCCACTGCTGGGCACAGACTTTGCCACCTCACCTGCAGCATGTCCACCATTTTCTTGAGCTCGGAGGGTTTGATCCCTGACGCCTGCTGCATGGTGAAGCCCTTGAAGTTCTCAATGATGCAGAACCCGTTGATCTGGGTCTCTTCGTTTTCCAGCAGCTTCTCCAAGATAACACAATAGGCACGAAGGATCTGATGGAGAGGAGAGACAGCAGGGTCTGGTATTAGGTTTTACCTCCCATAGACCCCAGGAGGTTCCCAAGAAGACTCCCATGGAGCGTTAGCCAGGATCTGCTTGACTCCATCCTGCTTGTCACAGCCAGCCCCAGGACTTCAGAGCAGGGAGGGCATTTTGGGGGATGCTCAGCAACCACCATGTTCCCCTTTCAAGGTGAGCACATCTCAGATCTGGATCAAGGATATGTTGCCACCAAATTCAGAGCTGAGCAGAAAACGGAGCTTGGAGAACTTGTGAGTTACATGCCTGGAGACCGCTTCAGCAAGAAGCCCTTTCTGTACCCTATGCCTTCTTCCTCCTCTGCCCTGTGGGTCCTTCCTTCCTAAAGCACCTTGATTTAATAGTGGGGTGCCTTTCTTCACCCCGTGTTACCTGGACTGAGGAGCGTACACTTGAATTTGGCCCACACCTTTTACTGCATCAGGGGGAAGGAAGGGGAACAATGCTCTCCCAGGCTCCCTGGAAGGATAAATTCAAAGGGCTCCAGATTTGCTTCAACCTGGATGGCTGGAGGCTGCGTGTGGACATACATGTATGTGTGTGTCAGGAATGCTGTGCTCAGACGTGCTGAGCAGGACAAGCCTAGGAGCGGGACCGCTTTGCTCCGTGAGCGGCGGCTGAGCTGGGCTGACCTCATCGAAGGTGATCTCCTCGTAATCCCAGTTCTCGATGTTGAAGAGCATCACCACCCGGCCGTACTTGTCTCTGCTGGACAGGATGCCGGGATAGCCGGCTTCGATGGTGCTGCGCACGGCCTCGGGGGTCAGGTTGTCGAAGAGCTCGGGGTACTGCTGGCGGAAGTTCACGTAGCCTGGAGAGAGGCAGAAATGGGGGAGGACAGCGGCTGCTCGCCTGGCCTTGGGGAACTGGGGGAGCCACCAGAGGTGGGATGGACTGACGATGGTGAGACATCAGTCCTGAGCCCAAGAGCTGTGGACAAGCTGTGCCTGGGGTCCACATGGGTCAGCTCTCCTCCAGCAAAGGGGGGCAAAGGAGCTCAGTAGCAGACCAGCCCCAGCATGCTCGGTGTTATTCTACCCATTCCAGGGGCTTCCCATGCCAGCCTTCTCCCCAACACCTCAACGAGAATTTTCCCCTCATTTCCCTTCTCCCCTTACTCCTCATTTGGGTGACATCCCCCAGCTCCGCTCCCTTGGCACCCTGCGGGCATGAAATAAGGAGTCTCATCCTGGGAAAATGCAGACGAACAAAACCTCTCGTCTGGGAGCCAGCACTGATAATTACAACTCATTATCCCCCAGGCTGACACAAAGAAGAGCAGAGCTGGAGCCAGGCAGGTCCCCGCTGGCGGCCACCCCCCGGGCCGCTGTCCCATTCCCCCTCCATCCCTACGGGTCACCCTCAGTGTGGGAAGGGGGTGCCACAAGCCCCCAACCTCCCTCCAGCCCTTAAGGGGTCCCCAAGGTGCTGAGCCCACCAGGAACCATTCACAGAAGCATCAGGATGGGTGCAGGACAGGCTTCTTACGGGGGGTACGGAGGGATGAGTATAGGGCATGTATAGGGCAGGCACAGGGCATGGGGTTCTTGAGGGGGTCCAGCCCAAAACAGCTGGGTTTGTTGCACAAATGAAACAGCTTGCCACTGCCAAATGCATTTGGTGTCTTTCATTTTGTCTGGTAAACTAGCAAGGAACAAGAATGACTTGGCTTTGTGAGATGCTTGGCACCACCCTCATTTATTTCCTTCCCCATCCCAGCTCTTTCCCCTGCATCTCGAGCCCTCAGCCTTGCCTTTTTCTATTTATCATCTCATCTCCTTCCCATGCTAGGGTCTGCTCTGCCAGCACAGCCCAGACCGAGGGGCTGGGAGGCTCCAGGGTGGGGCTGGGGGGGGACGGATAACCCTGTCCTCGCTCAGTGTCACAGGCTGGGAACCCTCCTCACCTTTCAGCAGGTCGTAAGCCCTGTGGACATCAAACTTGCGGGCGCGGATGAAGCGGAGGAAGAAGGAGTCATCCTTCCCCTGCACCTTCTCAGCCACTGCCTTGCACACCTCCTCGCCACCTGCCCGCTCCTGCACCAGCTCCCGCAGTGCCTTCACCGCCACCTCCCTCTGCTCCTCCGTCTCGTTCAGCTCATCCTTTGCCTGGGGGGGAACAGGGAGGAGGCATGGCTCAGTGATGTCTTCTGTGCACCCCAAGACACTCTGGGGGTCATTTAGGCACCCAAAAGCTGTGTGGGGTGCAGTGATGCTCGCTGTAGCATACCAGTGTGGGGAGGCAGAGTCACCCAGGTCCTCTACTCAGAGACCCTCCGGACTAAGTGCGTCCCTCCCCCCAGCACAAGAGCCCATCAAGGGTGTCCTCTGGCCCCCAAGAAGGAGCAGGAGCCCCAGGCTGTGCCTGTCCCACACTCCCCGTGGCCACCCTCACCTTCTGCAAGGTGTGCGGGGGGATCTTCTCGCACCTCCCGAAGACTGGGCCATGGTCCTTGGTGGTGAGGCGTTCCAGTTTGGTGCGCAGGGCTTGCTCCTCCTCCGAGACGATGCGGAAAGTTCCCGTCTGGGGGCGAGGAGGGGATGTGAGGTTTCCCCAACCAGTCCCCCAACTCCCTGCCCTACTACGGGTCTCCTGGGATGGGGGGCTATGGGGAAGGGCAGAGCCTCCATGCCTGCACCCGACGGGGTGCAATGAGATGGGAGTGAGCTGCATGCCACTCGAGGCTCCCTGCTGGGGGCTGAAAGAAGCCAGGGAGGTGAGAGGTGCATGGGGTGTGCCCCATCCCAGCACTGCGGGAAGCAGATGCTCAGAGCCCAGGGGACAGGGTGGTGCGGGGACGGTACTCACAACTGCAGACATGTCGTCCTCTGTCCTCTGTCAGCTGCAGGACACTGTGAGAGGGAAGCAGGAATCAGCAGCAGTGGGGATCCCAATAGCGTCTGCAGCCCCCCCACGCCCCATCCCCTGCCCCTCTTGGTCAGGTAGGGACACCCCAACCATCCTTGTCTCCATCACGTACTGCCTGCATCTCTGCGTGCCTGCTGGACACCGAGCAGCTTTGAGAAACACCAGGGATGTTTGCAAAAGCAACTTAAAAATGTGGGTATTGATCATCTGACACCTTCATCCTTTTTCTCCAGGTCTGACTTTCCACTGGTGGTTGGAGGCATCTCATGGGGACCCCCAACCCCACGAGCTCACCCAGTGCCACTTCATTTCAGACCATCCTCATACGGGTGGAGGGGAGTGCCCAGCTTTGGCCAGGTGGACAACCAGCTTGTGCTTTTACTGCCTTCTACTTCTACTGCCCTGTTATCCCCAAGGTGTTTCCCAAACCCTCAAGCCTTTGCTGCTCCAGCACAGAGCCTGTCACTGGCTGCCAGTTTGGACTGTGAGCCTCTCAGCTTTCTGATGCTGTCTGGGTGAAACTCCTTGTTCCCATGCATGAGGAGGAGGAAGCCTGCCTTCATTCTCCCTCCAGTGTCTGACCCTACCCCTGACCAGCTGGAGCACCAGCTCTGAGCCCAGGCTGTGTGAGGGATGCTTGGCTCCTGCTCAACCACTTCCCAGGGCATCCTCTTCCTCGCCAACTCCCAGGGAAGGGACAGGCATCCCCTTTTTCCAGCCACTGAAAGCAATCCCAGCCTTGAAGTTGCCAAGTTAAGGGAAGGCTGGATGATGGTCTCTGATGCCATTATTTGAGGTGGAAAAAGTCCCGGATACTCACCAGGGAGAGTAAAAGCTGAACCGTCCGCAGAGGGTCAGTGCACGGGGCCGAGATGGACGCACAGATGGCGAGGCCAGAGTGGAGTGGGAAGAAAGCCGGGCGAAAGCTTTGTAGAGTCACCAGGTTGGGATTAGACCGTCACAAGGCATCAACTCACTGCAGCTTTGTAATTAAGCCAGCACAACCCAGGCAAGAAACCCCATTAAAACATTACAAAAGGCAGCTGAGGAGAGAGAAGGAGGGAGCCGGGGCTCCACCGGCCAGCCGGAGCGTGCGTGGAGGGGCGGGCTGGGATGCCGGACCCGATTAACAAAGTATAAAAGCTCCTTGTTGTGTAACTCGCTCATTAGGACGGAGCAGGGGCAGAGGCAGGCAGTGGGCAGCCTGCCATCCCAGCCCGCTCCCCCGGGGCGAGTGGGCCAGGTCTCTTCCCCGGCTTCAGCCCTGAAAAGCCTGGCAAGGTCCCACTGTGATTTTGGCTGCGTGGACAGGGTCTGGCTGCTGGGATGGGTCCATGGCAGGAGATGCTCCTGGGGATGGTCCCTCCTGGGGCTCTCCAACTCCTCCCCAAGAAGGCCATCCCAATCAGCATCCATATAAGGTCCCTTCAGCTTTTAAAATTAAAAACCATGGGCAGATTTTTTTTTTTAGGATGCCTCCAAGTGATGGTTGCCTGCTTGGAGCTTTGGGAACTGGGACCTAGTCCACACCCAGGATGATGCTGTGGACCCACAGCATAGGGAAACCCCAGGATGTGGCAGGGACCATGCTGAGCCCACGTATGGGTGCAGCAGGACAGCAAAATGAGGGGGTTTGGGACAGCCACATCCCAGCATGCTGAAGCCACATGGGGCAGTGGAGCCCTTGCAGCCTGAATTCTTCTTGGGCCCAGGGCTGCAGGAGCTGGGTGAGGACGTGGTGAGGATGGGGCTGTGCACAGCTCCTTCCCCAGGACGAGGAGAGGAGCTCATCTGGGCTCCTACTGTGATGGGGATTTTGGAGAGGTGGCAGGGCCAGGCTAAGCACCAGAGCAGGACTGAAGGGGCTTACACAAGGCATGTTTTATAATGCCACTGGGATTTATGGATTTCGTTTCCACGGGGCTGCCCTGCAAATGGATCTGAGATCCCGCTGCAAGGGACGGAGGAGGAGGAAGGCATGAGACTCCAGATGAAGGGCAAGGGGGAGCAGGGAGGGAAAACGTGGACCTGTGCCAAGGCTCCAGGTGATGCTGCTGCGGCCAGGGGCACCACACACTGCTCTCCACTGGAGACCTCCCCATCCCCTTCCCACACAAGCCCTGGCACAAGGCTCAGCTCCCTTCTAGAGCTTGTTGGATGTTTGTCTGCAGCCCAGCAAGCAAGACGGTCTGTGATGGAGGAACATCAGCAGTGTCGGGGCTCCCGAACAGACCCAATGAGGGGTGGTAGAGGGGACCTAAGGTCTCCTGGCCACCTGGGCATCCTGGCCATCATGCTCAGCGCAGACTTGTTTTGCAGACTCATGCACAACCCCTGGCATCACCAAGTGGGTGCTTTGTCCCAGGAAAAGGGGTCTTTGGAAAGGGTGGTAGCCCCAAAAGGGAACCACCCAAGGCATTGTGGCCAGATCCCTTAGGGAAGCGCTTGGACAGGTCCAGTTATGCCTTTCCCCATGGTCCCTGGCCCTGGGTGAACCCGCTCCCCCTCGCTCAGCAGCATCAGCTCCCGCTCCCTGTGAGCACGGGGCTTGGGAAAGCTCCCACGCTGTGCTGGCACCGGATCCTCCGGCTAAATCCACCTGCTTAAAGGCGGGCTAAACCTCCTCGTGCGCCCAACGCCACCCCTCGTGCCCCTCGGAATTAAGGGGTTTACTCGAAGGGATCTGCACCCCACGTGGGTGGCACCCGCAGGGGCCGGGCACTGCTGCTGAGGGGTGGCTCTGAATGCTTGGGAAAGCTCCCACGCTGTGCTGGCACCGGATCCTCCGGCTAAATCCACCTGCTTAAAGGCGGGCTAAACCTCCTCGTGCGCCCAACGCCACCCCTCGTGCCCCTCGGAATTAAGGGGTTTACTCGAAGGGATCTGCACCCCACGTGGGTGGCACCCGCAGGGGCCGGGCACTGCTGCTGAGGGGTGGCTCTGAATGGGCACTTTGTGCCGAGCACGCCCCCCCCCCGGGGGGCTGCCCACCCCACGTGTCTGCACCCCACGCTGCCCGTACCCCACGCCACTCTGCGCCCCACGCCATCCTGCATCCGAACATCGTGCACACCGCACCACGCTGCACCCCACGTCCCTGCACCCCACACTGGCCTGCGCCC